TCTTCCCGCTTTTGGAAGCATTTTTAGCGACCCCACCACCGCCGGTGATAACTTTTAATTCGATCTCTTTCGCTTAAGGGTGAAGCAAGTCCGTAATCGCGGGGTGATTTATGCCGGGGGTTAATCCGGCTACGAGCGAAGCGTGAATGGTCCAGCTGATTTACGTGGTTTGGGAAAATAAAAAAAAAAGAAGAAACAAAGAAAGAACCTGGAAAAAAGGAGTAACGAACACACCCCGAAGGGAAACACTTTCCGATCGCAGGGGTGAAATTGTATGGGCGAAGAGGGTGAGCTTCCGTAATCCTCTGATTCGCAGTTCGTCGCACAAGCCCGACGATCGTCCTGCATCTGCAAAAAGTTTGCGTCGGGGTGCGGAATGGGGGTGACTTTCCAAAGGGGCAGACGGAGTAGAGTCCGTTGTTTGGGATCCAAGAGGGATGAATGGCCAGTCGAGGCTGCATTACGCGGATAATAAGAGTCGCAGATGCGTTATCAGCTTCGTGTACTCGCAACTGCATTTCGAAGCGACCAACTGAAATCGCATCTCGGGTTCGCAACGGGATATACCAACGACATATATATATCGGGCAGATGCTGCGTTTGCGGCAGCGCGGCGCTACGCGGCGTCGACGTTGACTAATGATGGCGCTGCTGAAGGGGATGAGAGGATGGGTAGAGAGAGCGTACCCTGGAACAGAAAATTCACCCAAGTTCACGCGACCTGTTGCACCCCCTAGCTCACCGTTTAACCTATAACCTGCTCGCCAAACATAGGTTTAACCTCGCCTTATCGCGTTATCGAATGCTCGTCCTGGCGCTTTCTTTTTTTCTTTACGAAATTTTTTTAACGTATTCGACCACACGCATTTTTCGGCAGTGCTCGGCACGTGTATGCATATTCATTCGCTGCTGCACCTGCACCTCGTTGTATAAGCTCGCGAGTGATGGCGGACTAATTATTGCACTTTCCTCGACTGTGTCCCGCTTATTATTCCGTCCAGAATCAATATAGCCGTACGAATATTTAAACGAATAGCAAATTGAATTCGGAGTACGGTAACGCGATTACCTCGACGTCCTATGAAAAATATCAATCGCAAATGTAATTCCGGTTAACAATTGGGCCTTTTAATTAATAACCATTTTCGATATTTTATCAGGGTACAGGCGCCATCTAGTCTACGAAATTTTCGTTACTTTGCATGGAAACTCTTCGAGGCTAAATATTACGTGATATTATGAGAATCACTGCAAACACGCACCTGCTGATATAACTTTTATATATAACTTTTATATATAACTTTTGATCCTGACTGCTTTCACTTTTACCAAATACTTCTCGAAGTGGCTCTTCAAAAAATTCAAAAACTCCCGCCACTCCACCCGAGATATATTACCGACGCTTTACGATTTTCGCTGAAAGGGATAACGCCCTCTTCGTGCCGTCCCTTTATTGGGCATCGTTCTTCCTCAAGATTTATTTAGCCAATTACCACGGCTCTGTTCAACACGAGAAAATCAGCTGGGTCGCCATTGTCCCTTAATTCGCGAAGCGGCGGTACTCGAGGGTTGAATTAAAAAAAGAAAAGTTCATTTCTTTCCTCAGACGATTCCCAAAGGCCCGTCGCGAGCGCCCCTGTCGTCTGACTGGTAAACCTTTAAAAATTGATGAACCAAGGGGACGTAAACGGCCAACTATACGAATCCTCGATCGAACGTAAAATTAGTCGAGGTTATTCGCGATCGCAGCGCCACGCCATTCGATAAATACAACTATTTAATTTCCCAGCAAGCCGTAAGTGGCTGAACGTTAAAAGTGGCGCTCGCGGCTGTTCATGAATATTTATACAGCTATATAATAACATTTTTGAGCCACTGTTTAGCTAATCCTCCGGACTCATTTATCCTGGAGGCAAGGACAGCTATAATTCTTGAAAATGTTCCGAGGTATTATTATGTGAATAAATACTAAGGGATTAAGTCACGATGGGGCCCGTATGAAACACGAAGCCGTTACATTTCCCTGGCATAAATATAAGGACAATTCGCATTTCGCTTCGACGGTCAGAATTATAATTAATCCTTGAAAAGACGCCCGGAGGAAGGAGATCCTTCTCTAACTCCTATACCCACCCTTAGCCTTACCCGAAAAAGTAGCCAGAAAATTTCGCCATATTCAATTCCCTCACTATCAATGCCCTGGTTACACTCGGTTGCCAAAAAGAATTTTAATATTATTCCAGTCTTGTTTCCTTCTGAAAATCTACTTTTGGCCTTCCTTTTTCTCCGTAGAACATTTAATCCCACGTGCTTCTGTTATGCGCAGGACGTATCGGATACATCGAAAGGAGGTTAGGAAACTCACGGAAGTAACGACGTCGCTTCCGGAAGTGGGCATAAAGGCAAGCGCGTTCTCTTTGTTAATGGCGGCTCGTGGTAGGCTTCAGAGATTATAATAATCTCGGTTTACGTAACATCGCTCTGTGCTGGTTAATTTGAGGAGGAAACTTCTGCCCGGTTGGAACGTGGTCCTTGCAGCATCCGTTTGCTCCTCTCTCTCTCTCTCTCTCTCTCTCTCACGCGATTCTCCACTAGCACCCTCAAGCTCTACCAAGGTCCTTGCAGCATCCGTTTGCTCCTCTTCAGAGATTATAATAATCTCGGTTTACGTAACATCGCTCTGTGCTGGTTAATTTGAGGAGGAAACTTCTGCCCGGTTGGAACGTGGTCCTTGCAGCATCCGTTTGCTCCTCTCTCTCTCTCTCTCTCTCTCTCTCACGCGATTCTCCACTAGCACCCTCAAGCTCTACCAACGCAAGACTCTAAGCTGATTCGTAGTTCACCCCGGCTTAATCTTTCGCAAACTTGCAATTCGAATTCAGCGAAATACCCGCCACGGCGCCAGGGTAATCCAAGATGGATAAAGCGCCGACAACGCGGAAGATATCGACGACGATTACCGGCTGAGATCGTTAATGCTTTTCTATTCTTATTTCTCTGGAAACTCTTTATTTTCCCCACTTAAGATATTTCAGTCGAATGCAATTTGAATCGCTGGGCGTTTTAATGAAGTTTTGTTTATTTATTTATTCCTTTATTTTTTTTTTCTTCTCTTATCGACACTATACAAGAAACAGTACAGAATGCAAGTCCACCTTACTTTTGTCTTCCGTTAAACTTTGCTTCTTGTCTACCCTCATAATATTTCCGACAAGTCAAACAAAAGATTCGTCAAACAGAATAACGAGGAGAACGAAGTAAATGCGTATCAAAGGAAACAGACTTACGAGTTTAATTTGCTAATTGAACTCGCAGCCTCCCGGTAGCAGTACCGGAAGAAGTAGCAGGGCAGGCAACAATAAGTACGTAAATAAAGTTGCAAATACTTTTCAATTCATTTTCAAAAGCTCTTCGTAGATGAGATTGACTGCATAGTCGGCATTAAAAGGAAGAGTTTACCTAAAGAAAAAAAAAAAAGAAAAAAAATATTAGAAACTAAATTAATTGAACGATCTCGAAACCCAAAGAATTTCTGACCTACTTGCGTCCACGATTTTCCTCGACATCGATCTGATGTCTTCGTCCTCGCTCGAATTCGGCTGGCGACCATCGTCGCGTACCGAGTATCACTGTATCTATACGAAGAATGGGAACCGAGGACGTTACGAGAGGTTAGGTACGTTATCAGGAAACTTTTTGAATTTCAAATCGCGTCGAAACCTCCACAACTCTTCAGGTTCTCGGTGCTGTCTCGCCGATCTATCCTCCGCCGTGTTTGACGTGACTTTCCTGTTTTTACTTTGCCAAGGATATGAGGTCGGGTTAGGTAATAGCAAAAAAAAAAAAAGGTACGGGCAAAGCTTTTGACGTGAAACTTTACCGAAAGTATTCAACGCTCTCTTCCTCCTGGCATCTTTCGGTCCATTGGCCCACGAGAATGATGTAGATCCCTGATGCGCTGTACGGATCGTCGCGATGCCACGAGCTATGGCATTCCCAGCCATTCGTTTGGGGATGACAGACCGATGATTTGTGGTGGCTCTCCTGGTAGTTTTCTGATTTTTATGTAAGAGGGCCAAGAAGCGTGGTCCAGAGGAGACCTAAGACTTAAGTCCCAGACGATCATAAATTAAGGACGGCCTTAAGACTTTCTCAATTTCTCTTATACCAACCTGGACCAACCAGAAATCATCTCGCCACTGTGACCTACCTCAATTCATACACCATACGCATACCCCTGTCATCCTCCTACCCATACTCAAATCCACGATCCGCATTAATCACCGACCCTTAAAATTCATCAACGTCGAACCGTTCCCCAGCATCTTCCCAGAGACGTGCATCTCAGTTTAATCTCACAAGAAGTTACATTAACTTCGCGCCGACGTCCCACGTACGCAAGTTCAGCATTGAGTATGATATGTGTCATGGCCAAGGTACACAGGATGGCTCCACCAGCAGAGGACTAAGTGAATGTTACTTCCGCCCGTGAATAATCGTGACTCCGGGAAACGTCGTGACGTTAATGTTACAAGCCGGAGATGAATCTTATGACTTCAGGCGGCTGGTCGCCTACCACGTTTAACCAAGTAACAGAGCCGAGCCCGATAGCAGGAACCATGAAGTCGCATCAGGCTAATCTACCTACCAATAATCTTCCAGCGCCTCCTGGTCCTGCCGAAGAAAATATAAGGACCATCTTCGCCCCTCCTGCCCTGATCATCATCAGCGAGTCGATTACCCTCCTAGCCTTCCTCGAGGTCATCTTAAGGACCTGGGGTACCTAGGGGGTGATCCTGCCTGATTTATCCAATGGGCTTTCGCATCTGTATCGCTTAATCTGAACGTAAATACTAGCTCCTTACTTACTTACCGGGACGAAGTACCTCTCGCTCCCCCATCCTGATAATCAGGATCGATATTCTCAGTGTATCTTAATACTATACCAGCTAGGATACTGGAAGAGCCCGTCGACGACGCAGGGAAATATACAGGTCTGGAAATTTTTTATTATCGATTTTATTTTACAAGCCTAGTGCGATGTCTCAATTTTTAATAAATTTCTTCCATCATCTTGAGCGAAGTACCCGGGACTGATGGTTCGCATCGGCATGGGAAAATATCAGGCATACTTGATGTTTTCATGATGAGAGAAACGCCGATGATTATTTTCCAGGTTCAGGTGCGTCGCCTGTTTAGACAGTAGCGGGAGTCGTTCGTAATCATCCGCAGATGAAAGAGCTGTCGGAGTGTCGAGATATACGAAAAGCAAGCCAGTCTGCAGGCAACCAACATAACAGAACAAAACCGAACGATCCGTATAGACAGAGAAGGAGCCACTCCTGTACCTTGGTTGGCCTGAAGTTGGCTGTCTGTCTGTATTTACGATATAGGTTAGGTCTACGTGTTTTCACTGTACGTGCGCCTTGAGCTTTCAGCGCTGCCAACCAGCCGAACCTTTGACTTGAGCTTCCTCTTGGAGCAACTTCACGGCTCTCTAATGTTTTACTGTCTCTCGTCCCTTTGTATTAACGATTAATACAGGCTGCCGGCATTTCTCCGACATCAAACACACGTCAATTTGTTATATTAATTATTGCTCCTCTGTGAAGCCGTTTCGCCACGGTGATTGTTTATCGATGGATCGGCTAATTATTTTTCACGCCGCTGGCAAAACGCGTAAAAGTTCACTGAAAGGAGGAACTCTCCAGTGTTTTCGATTGAGACGAGCGAGATTTGCTTTCTTTACGTTTCGGCCTCTCTTCACTTTGAGACTCGAAGTCAACGAGGCGACTTTTACTTTGTCGATTTTCCAATCGGCGATAATTACAAAACATGCCCGCCTCTCGCTCGACGTTTGCTCGTCGCGCCATCTGTGAGCTCGACCTGAAACGATATTAAGCTTGATTTTTCTTAACTTCCAAGAATCACTGAGATCTTACAAAGGGAAATATTTATGGAATTTGAAATTGGATTTTTTGAAATTTTTTTTTTTTCATTTCTTAAATCAAGAATCATCTATTACTTTCAAGCAATACCCTTACAGCTGGATACAGGTGTGACAGTGATTGTATTATTTGTCCAGTGGTGCTAATTGAATTTTGATATATTTATAGGGAAAAAAATTAAAATATCGAGAGAGGTTATCGGATGCTTTTGTAGGAGAAATGGCATAGTAATACTCTATTCTAATTATTCAGTAATGGCTGGCTTTTAGGATGGGTCGAACGAGGCGCCTGGTAATAATGGCTGTCCGGCTTGTGGTTAACGTAGGCAGAGAACGCCGAGAGGTTCGAGTAATCCCTCTGTGAAAGCTTCGGCCGCCACGCTTGGGATTCCTAAAGTTGACAGGGGCCGGAAGGACGCTACGCTGCCGCTAAGTCCTGGAGGACTTCAAACGGTATCATCAAAGGTTCATCCAATAGGAACTGACAAATAATCCCCTTGCTTCCCGTGGAAGACGTTCCTGCAGACTGGTAACTCTTGTGTCGTTTATCTTCCTGTACGTACATAGGTTAGGTACACTTTTCAACTGGATGGGTATAAGGATTTGAAGGTTGGTCGAGGCTCTTGGTGGAATCGTTGGATATATATAGTTAATAGGAAAAATGTTGCCGATTGAATTTCGGGTAATTAATAAATTAAGGAAATTGGCTAGGAATTCTTTATATAAAATTATTGACTTTTTCTTCAGTTATTTCGATGCTGAATAAATATAGTTTTGTAACGAGTTATAGATCGCGGACGGGAATGTGTTTGCGAAGGTCGTGAAAGAGCTCGGGATCGATTTGTAAAAATAAATGCGAGATGGTAAAGGAAAATTTTTCAATTTACAACGACACGGGATACCCTCTGGCAAGGAAGTTCATACGAAAGATTTCAATAAATAATTGAGACGTCTCTGCCAGGACGAGAATAGACTAAGTACGTGTGTGGCAGAATACGTTAACGTATGCATAAGCTAATATCTTCTGTCGTCGAGCTTAATAGTCATTTTGTACATTTCTGTTATATGAAATTCAATGAAATTGGAGGATCTATGCTGTAGATAAATATCACAGAGAAATTCAATCTTTGATATAAAACGGAATAATGGATCATTTATAATTTACTGTCAGTGATTATTTCACTGATAACTCTAATATTTCTCGATAACATCAAATCGTTAAGTGACAAGTCATAGTTCGAATTATCAAATACTAATTAAACAATTTGACCAATTATCCAGTTGCGATTTCAAAATGATAATAGAAATTAAGGCGCAAATCTATAAAATGATTTCTGCGGAATTCTAAAACCATAAATACCAAAGCAAAAAAAAAAAAAGATGAATATAAATTCGGAAAATTTCACAAAATCGAATTCTCATTCGTTCGCTGGCAACGCGTGATTGGATTAAATTATCCATAATTATTTTCTATGTCAAACCCAACGTAGACGCGATAAGGAATGAAAAGATAATAAAAAAAAAACAATTTCACCAAATACGAAAAAACACAAATAGACATTATAAATCAGCGTTCCTCTAGCTATAGGTTTATTATTTAATAAAAATGTTATTGTGGCAAATAGCGAGACACAGATAGCACAATAAAGCGGGAGCAAAGTAAGATTGGTCCTGGATGCTGGTTAGGGGTGGTTCGGTAGACGGGGGATGAGGGGGGTGGCGGGGGTGAAACAAAGAGACGAGCACATATTGGGTCCGTCTAGTCGTCCCATTCCCCTTTCGAGATTCGCTTCTCTTTGGCGAAGACCTCCATGTGTGCAGATATCCATATCCACGTGTTCCCCGTGGCCCCAGATGGCAGCAGTGGCTATTGCCACGGAGGCTCGTATCACTCGTATGTACGTACCAGGATAGGATGGAAGCGATAGTGGGTCGGTAAGGGGGGTTGGAGGATCCCGTATGTGCTCGAGGTTTATATGGGCGGACTGTTATAGCAGGGGGTGGTTTGGGGATGGTGACCAAGAGGTTACCAAGGGGTTACACCAGAGTGCGGATGGGGTTATTGGCGGAGGAGTGTGTCAACCGTGGCATCCCACCCCTCCATAACGTGATCCAAGCAGGACAATATATTATTTTAATGTTTTAATATCGTGTCGGTGTGGTCGTTCGGACAAGACGGTGTCCTGTGGGATATCGTCGATGGTGCCAGGTCGCTACGTCGCTTACATTTGATTGAACCTAACCTGACCTCCGTCGAAGAGCTTGACGAGAATTGTTCGTATAGAAAGATACAGTATTGTATTGTGTATATATATATGTGTGTTTACATACCAGAAAACTGCGTATATCGTACAAACGGGAGTCCCGATGTACCGTTCTTGTCCAGAGCTTCTCCACAGTGCCATTTTAACAGCAGTTAGTCGCGACCTCGCGTAAATCATTGGTCATCGAAGCGCGCTGTAACGCGGAATCAATAATAATGGGCATGAGCCATTAGTAAAATTAATAAATTATGCTTCACATTATGTGCATTGTGAGTCGCGCGTAATACGTCGTAAATCATATTAGTGAATAATCCACATCACCATAACGCTGCTAGCGCCAATACGCATTTCAGTGAGCAAAAATCGTATTAACACCCGGAAATCTATTACCACGATACACCGCCGATAAATTCGAGTAACTCGTCGACAGAGGCGAATCCACGAATCCTGGTTTGTACCCGTACCACTAGATACACGTCCACACGGCCCCCGTTCACACCCCCGCCCAATGAATACCCACTGTCATCCGAAAGAATTCTTACGAGACTACAAAGTACTAGACGTTTACTCGGACTGACGCGATGTAATCCGTCCGAGACGATTGTTCTCAGCGCCATCTAGCGTCTGAATTCCAAAGCTTCACCTATTCCGCTCGGCCGTACGAAGTCGTCTTCCTTCCACTAAAGTTTTGTCGAGAGTTTGCAGATGAAACTGGCTCGTTTGTCACATCGTAACGTAAATATAGTTGGCGTCGCGATGCAGATACGAACCCCTAGTTGGCAAGGTAGCCGGTTTACTGGTTAGGTTAGGTATCTATCGACGAGCACATAGCTTCCTATTAGCGAAGCACTTCATACGGACAGGGTGGTGTCCCGGCTCGACTCTACTCGGCCGGGTTCGGTTCGCCTCGCCCGTAGGCGATATCGTATAAATGTGTCGTTAATTACTTACCCCGCGGCCGCGACACCGACGCTCTCTCACTGGTTGGCTGCCTCTATCTCCTGCCGACTCTTCTGCCTCTCTTATGGCTCTTCCGCCTCGTTCTCCCTGTACAGAGAGAGCGAGAGGGATCCCCTCCTCCTGCCACCCTTGACCTCCCCTCGCTGCCCTACCACGTTATGGTGCCGCGTGTTAAGGAAACTAATGTTTATTTGAAAAACTAATTGAACGGGACTCTCGCGTCTACAGCCGGCAATTAAACGAGATTACTGCAGTAGCGAGCTCCGGGGGATTAGATAGCACGGTAAGATATGGAACACGTAATGTTTAACTACGCCGGCAGCGCTCTCTCTGAAGCGCCGCCAATAATTAATTGTTAGCCGATATTCCCTATCAAAAAGCGAGAGACTTCGCTACCTACCTGGACAAAAGATACGTTCTCGTTCTTACAAATGTTATCATACGGTACATTTTTTTCTTTAAGGACAATATTTTTTCACACAAATTTTTGTTAACCATTGAATATTTAGCGCACGTCAAAGGGACGTGGGATCATCCGGAGCTTCGCCACCACGTGTTCCTCTTACGGGGTAAATAGTCGGATGGCCGTATAGACCCAATAACCTCCCTACAACGGGTGTCGCTACGAGGCGGCGTATTTGCAGCGGAAACACACAAGGGGTACCGCAAAGCTCCGTGTATATACGTAGAAATGATACCCACATGATACTAGTTATCTAGGAGACTCCTGCGCTCTCCGGCGGCTATCTCCCTCTACTCATTTCGCAGGCGGCATTAAGTGCGACGCATGAATATACGTATACGGGAACGTACGTGGAGCACAGTCACGTATGTATACCGTGTGCTTGGGCCTCAGGGACGGCCCTGCCTGCTCCTCCTGTCCCAGCAACCCTTCTGCCAACGTACCCATCCTCTGACGCTGGCACTGCCTCGTCCACTAGGCTGCTGCTGCTGCTCCCTCTGGTCTAGCTGGTGCTTGCTCCTCTTATTGTGCTTCCTGCACATCCTCCGTTACCACACACGACGACGGGAACGAGTGTAGGGAGACGATACACTGCTCCTGGACGACTCACCCCATCCATGTTATACCGACAATATATTTAGGAGGCATGTAGCTTCGCTACCCCGTCCGCCGCTGGAGCCATCCCCGTCTACCCCAGCATCGTCCAGGACGACCCCAAACCAGAGCGCCGGGCATCCCTTGCTCTCTACTCCTGCACCATCAGACTTCACACACTCGGTCCTGCACACGATCCACATGGTCCTGGGGGCCGGCGGCTGCCGATACTTGCTTGCTACAGATTAATGCAACATCGTAACACGATAGTGTCCGCTCGCCGAGCCGCAACCAGGGCTACCGACCCTCTTCCTCTGCGGACCCACCCGACCCCCCCGGGTCGGAACACGGCAAGTTCGTAACTTATAATTATTATCTGGCTACACGGTTATGTTCGGCTATGACATCATCCGCTAGAGGTGAATACGATACTCCTCCTGGCGTCCTCGTGGATCAGAGCCAGGATGCACTTAAGGGATGCTGCATTTACTCACTGGACCATGGACTCGTACCGGTGATCGCTCCTAAATATTACTTTGACATTGTATTTTCTTTTTTACAGGTAACACTGTGCGGCACTTTTTTATTTTTCGGTTCTATTTTTTTTATCACTCTTACGAGCTGCAAGATAAGGGGGATCACCCTTGACCTAATGTTAAGCTGAACTGGCTGGGCCTCTGGTATGCATTTATGCAGGGCCACACGAAAAGAGATTGGTACTTTCGCTATACGACAGGTATTATATTTCACACTCCATCGAATTCCAATCCCCAGCCTGTAGTCAGATTCTCGAGGAGCTCTTACAAGGGTCACCATTATCGTTCCCCAACAAATTCAGGAGGAATAAAAGGGAGTTCATTGCATATATGCGCTGGGGCGAGGGCGCGAAAGGTCCATCTAGGAGATAGGCTTCCCGATAACGGGCACATAAAGTAGATGGAGACTTAAAGACGTGGTCCTGCTAGGGAGCTAAATCGTTACCATGATTGTGAAGGTATGCTCTCTCTCTCTCTCTCTCTCTCTCTCTCTCTCTTTTGCTCCTCCAATCCACCTCACAGAATCCCTTTGCGGTCCAGATGCGCACGCTTTAGGCTCCTATCTCCACTGCCTTTTTCTAGGACTTCGCCCCTTCTTCCCGGGCATTACAAATCTTACCAGGACCCCCTTTGATTCGGGTCAGATAAAATATTTTCTCTGTTAAAAAACCACCCTTACGCCACTCAATTAATCATCTAACGACATCAGCGGTAACGTACAAAATTTCAATGCCCATACCGATAAGGATTTAAATCTAGTTTTCGCGTTTATCGTTGACTTTATTTTGTCCGGATTATCCGCTTATCTCTTTTCCACGCCCAGCTAACCCGATCTCCTATCATTTGTGTCTCGCCCTCTAGGAAATTGTATTTCGCACGTAAAACCCTGGGCAAACAGGCGCGCCGTGCCAGCGGCAGTGATAACGAATGGAAGCCACTCATTGCCCTGCGATTTATAATCCCTCACATAGCGACCGAGCGAGAGAGCCGAACGAGGACTCTGTCCGTAGCTAGGAGAGATATGCTCGCGCCAACATCGACATTACATTCCACATTAACCAAATTATGATTTAAGGTCCGGCCATTGTTTGCGGGCCGATTGTTCACATCCAAATAGTCCTCATTCAGGCTCGATATAAATTATAATATCCAAGCAATTACGTTGATGCGGATGGTACTGCACGGGGAATGTCGCTTCCAGTCGCTTAATTTATTATTTCGACTTTTTACCAGAATCCACCAGACACCCGATTAAATTCGATTTAAAGTATCCTAAAAGTATCCCGCGCGCCGATGACCCGGTCGACAAGACTTTGACAGATTCAGGCCGAACTTTAAATTTACTCACGTCGTCTTGCCGCTGCGCCACGGATCGATTCTTAAGTCGTGTATAGAAATATAGGGACACACACGTATTACGGGTCCAAGAGACAAAAATGGCGAAATCGCAGCTTGCACTCGGTAGCTCTCCCTATCCACTGGGTGGAACACACATACGAGTTTCGCGTCCGTAATAAAAGTGATATAGGGGTCTGCGCCACGGTGCCGTTTCTGAAGACGGCCCTGAGTCACTCGTCAGGTTTATGCCGGGGCGTTCATCATCCGGTTGACAGACTTCATTGCTCGCTGCCGGCGCGGAGGCCATTTCGCGACGTGTCCTCGGCCATCCTCAACGGTCCTGGAGCGTCGGCCCCCCAGCCTCCGTGGCGACGCCACGTCCCGGAGGCGGGAGCTTGCGGTGATGTACGACTCGACGCTTGACGTCACCACCTTTTCAATGCTCCCGCGGCGTTGGCCCATTCAATCCGAGCGTCGGGAGCGTCTCCTCGCGAAGTACCGAGGAAATCGTTTTCCTCCATTCGCATTTATCTGTTTTCCTTACTTCCTCACTGACTATAGAAAAATATTATCTCGGCCTTGGATTTCGTCACTTTTATGAAATTACTTCGTAATTTGACTTTCGTTCGATCCTAGGGCTCTATCGATCCTGGACTATGGAAATTATCAGAGGCTGACTGGTCGTGCAAGATCGGTATGTATATATATATACGTCTAATAGGTCTGACTACTACGAAGCCAAGCTTGCAGCACGTAGGTAGGTGCACGGCTACACGTCGATTATTTAACCACCCTTGTTCCGTAATTAGTGAAAGTAGAAAAAAGGAAGGGGAGCTCAGTGGTAGAAACGCTATAAAAGTTTATGTCCTCCATATGTTGTAATATAGTCGGTAGCAAGCGAGCAGGGATCGGTAAAATATGCAGGCAATAAGTATGGATTGTTATTAACACGGGCGCGCGGTGTCCGCCACGTTTCTGAATCCATTACCTCCGCATGGCGGCTGAAATACCGGCCGATATATCCGCTCGCTGTGTACATCGCACGCCGTGCCGATGCTGCCCGACTTTACACGAATGGATTAGCGGCTCGAACGAAGCCAGAAGCGGCCCCCGTCCAAATTACATCGTTGGACGTTCCAAGTCGCTCTTCGTACTCGGTCAACTACTGCCGCACGAAGTATATTATTTTTTCATCCCCCATTAATCTCATTAAACAACCCTTGGCTTTACGGGCATTTTTAAACCCACTGTCTGACTATGCAACGACGTTATCCACTACTCAGAACTGTCCCGTCCTCCACAATGGGAAGGACCGTATAAAGTATATCCTTGCTTTAACTCTTCTCTTTGTTGTTCTTTTGTGTGAGTCTCAAGGCGTGCTCCAGAACGATGTAGGTTGCGCACCGTGAGTTACGGGACCAGACGGAACAACCGGAATGCAGATACGGGGTGGGTTTGACTACCAAAAACGGTAGTAGGGAAAGGTACGAGTTGGGTTAGATTCACAAACTACCCCAATGAAGGAGGTAGAGTAGTTTGTTAGATTCTTAAAATGGAAAGACGAATAATTGAGGCGAGGTTAAACCGACGTAGGAGTGATGGCGCTGGTGTAGCTCTAACTAGACGCAATTAAGTGAGACGTTAGTAGTGGGTCTGTACCAAAAAGGATGAGGAGCGGAGGAAGAGTGGGATGAAGGGTGAGGGACGAAGGGTTGCGTGGGGGTGGGGGGGGGGAAAGGAGGAGAGGAAGAATGAAGACTAACAGCACGTCACGGGGAGGCTAACCAAAAGTAATGCTGCCTCGGATCAATCTTCCCGGACCCAAATCCAAACCCAATCCCGGAGTTTCCCTTTGCGGACAGCGGATCAGCTAAAAGACTCGTCGTTCGACTCCATCGAAACTCCTGGACGTCGGCCATCAATCCGAATTTCAAAAATCGCGCCAAACTTCGCTCCCTCAAGACCTAACGGTATTTCACATGGTCCATGCGAATTTCATGGACTGTAAGTAATTTTACGTTACGGTCGATACTGTTATTATTATTTTTATTATGAAGCTTCGTTATTCCTAGGGGAATCTAGGGGAAAATTTACATCGCTTCTTACTTGCCGTCGCTTGTCAGCGTCCTGGCTCGTCTTTCGGCTCTCGGAAACCGTGCGTCGGATAAGACGGTTAACTCAGGTTGATTTAGCCAGCGGTGTGGCGCTGCGCTCAGACACGTAGCGCCAGATTTAGTGAGACGTCGTGACGCCGCGACGGATACATAGATATCTCCTGGCAGCGTACTTCACCCTCGCGCCATCCAGCCTGTCTCGAGCGACACGAAGCGTTCTCCGCAAACAGGAATACCCGGCATACATAAATTAAGGATACGGGATCCCAGAAGAGTCCTGGACTTCTATATTGGCTGTGGATGCGGCTTAAGACGCTCTTGGAATTCAGAAGGTCGTAGCCGCGAATGCGAGCTCGTACCATTTTCAGAAGCTTACACCCGCGACAGACGCGTGCAGGTGCAGTTCCCGCTGATGTCCGGATGGCCGTTCGATACGTTTTCGTCTTCGCTGAATAATTCCCCAGCCAGCAGATTGGACCGTTGGAAATATCGTGTGTACTCGCCATAATAATAAAGGGCCCGATACCCATTATGGTCACCTGTTCATTTCGCTGCAGAACCGACGCATGGATTGGAAGGTATTTATCGCTATCCGAAATACATTCATTTTCATTTCGAACATTACGGGGGCAGGGTATTACCAAGAGCCAATGATATAGTGACTATTACCGTCACTACATACAGGGCACGGAGTGATGGCGGGTGACTGCGTGCCTCGATAGCGCTAAGCCTCGGGCAGTAAAATACATTGGTCCGGTGGCTGTGATCCGCCCGTATCAATGCTGCTCGGTTGTTATGTGTGGCTGGCCTGCTACACACCCTGCTAACCTCCCGGACCTCGCTAACCTACCTAACCTCACCGCGCCCGGCGCTCCTAACCCTGCTGCTGCAACGGCCCTTTCCAGACTAGCCACGTTCCACCCCACCGGAACAACCCCCGAAACATAACCGATCCGCGCTGCAGTACGATCGCGTTGTAACAGCTGTCAATCCGTGACGTATCGACGTTTCAAACTAGCGAGACGTCGCAGCGACAACTTTTATTTCGGGAGCGATCGCAGCGCCGCCGGTGGCGATGGGAACTATCTTTTTGAAATTTTGTAAAAATTTAATTCGTATCAAAATTTCAGAGTGGAGCAGTCGTGAGAGGACCGAGTGTTCCCGAAGAGACCCAGCATCCACTGTACCGGGAACCGTCCACGTGGGACCTCTGGTGATTAATGATGACTCCGTGCTATTTGATAGTAATACGCGTTTTTCTTCCAGTGAATTAGAGACTGTGCTTTTTGTGTCTCTGGTCCAGAAGAAAGACTGGTCAGGAATGAATCCTGGCCTTCGTAGATCAGGACGGTCATGGGTCGTCCCTGTCTCCGGTGGACCATCTCTAGGAAGTGAGACTGAATAGGGAGCATCCACGGGATGGGAGGCGTCCCATGGGATAATAGATTTGGAATTGGTACAGGAGGAAGAAGGTGGCGCGGTTAATATCAGTCATCGAGTCGTCGTCCAGGATTCAGGTCCCAGGGTGGATCAGGGTCTAAGACAGGAGGGAAGCACGGCTGAGTGAACGTGTCCGCGGTAAGAAAAATTAATCACATTCCTCCTGCAAATCCTGGCTCCTTTATCCATGGCAGCGCGAATACCCCGTCATTTGTCAGGAATAGTGAATTAATGATGATTGCTGGTTGGCTCAGACTGAATGAGTCCCACGCTCCCTCTTACGACTCTCTCGTTCCGTCCTTGTCCTTCATCCGTCCCAGAAGCGGGCGGCCTGGCTACTCTCTCTCTCTCTCTCTCTCCTTCAAGAGCCGATTCCTCCTTAGCCGTCTCATTCTTACTCCTCTTCTTATTCTCCTACTGCTCCGTTCCACTCGTTTACTTTAATGCAACCATTAACACCAGGACCGTTTCAGTTTCCTCAAGGCGCCACCGCACTGCTCGCGTCTATACGTACCGCCGAGCCGAGGACAAGTCACAGTGACAATCATCGTCGACGTCTGCTATACGTTCGACCCTCCCACTCGGCAGGTCGAACAGCGCCACAGGAACCGCGTGAACTCTCGCCAAAGAAATATATTTCATAACGAGTTCACCGGGCGAGTTTTCATTTCAACCGTCGACCAAAAGCCCGGCTGCCATCTCGCTACCAAGAAACTTGAGCAATTTCCTGTCTGCCAAGCTTGGACCAGGGTGGCTACAGTGGACTTCGGTCGAGAGGCCTTTTACCTATGGAAAAATATAACAACGTCTTTTGACTGCCGTATAACCTTAAGGCGCCCTCGTCTTTCCCCTTGACCTTTTCTCCTTTCTCGCTTGGGCTACGTTAAATATGCATGTCCTGAGCCCTGAGGAGGATTTCCAGCCGACAGTCTTCTCTAATTATCTCGTCGAGTCTAATCGCGCGTGCTGGACGCGCGAACGGACGGCCTTTGAGCCGCGCTTACGGATTCTGCCTTAACGCTTAACGCCCGGTTAATACCTGGAACTACACTTATGACAGCGGTTGGTACAAGGGTTGGCGAAATTATGCTTGTCAGGTCCATTATCTGGAGGCCGCAAGTAAGCAGCTCTTGAGTATGTATGCTAAAACGTGGTCAGAAGAGACCCTCCACATCAAACGACGGCTCGTTGTATTAAGTCTTTATGGATTAGGCCAGATCGACCTTGGCGTTTAGTTAGCTTGACTCAAGGCAGTATTTTCAACGGGGACTGCCATTGACGTTTCTGCCGGATAAATAAACAATCACTCGATGCATTTGCCGGACGAAAATTCTCATCGGCGATCGATGCGATGCGCACCTAATTAACATCCCTGGTCGACGACGAGCTGGCGCACCGCACCAGACAATTATGCGAGCTTCGTAGCGGGGGCTGCATTTGTCAGGGGCGGCTTGCGAAACCGCGGATTTGCCTCAAGGGCGTCATCGCTCACCGAGAGCCCACAGTTGGGCCCTTACCCATTCACCCTTCAAAGTGGAAGTAACCCGCAAGGTATCTCTACACCCTATGACTCTCCCTTGGCATCCCTGTTAGACACCCTTGTAAGACAGCCGACGCCCACTCATCGCCATTTAAGGCGGATAAGCAGCCGCCATTTGTAACCGTACTTGGAGATGAAGATGGAGACGTCTTCAACCTCGTGTCGTCATTTGGACCACTAACAAGTAACAACTGTCAAGAGTCAGGATGGCAGACTCAGATTGTACCTCAGATCAAATTTCGAGACTGATCGTCATCGATCAATTATACGAATTTCCAAATTTCTTATCACTGATAAATATTAAAGTTCTGTCATAAAATTACTGCGAATAAAAACAAAGAACAGAAATTTTTTTTTGATTACTTATAGATACTGTAAACGTCTTTGGTAACGTATGGGGATGCAGAATAATTTTTTTTACTCTTATCAGGTATCCACCCCTACGACGCAAACTACTTGTCAAAGTTCAAAGTTCGAAAGTGTCGCGATGTGTATATCGTATGTACACGGATACGGAAACGGCGGTGTAAATGTGAAAAAGCGAAGAAGAAAGATGTCAAAAGATGCCACAGATGAAATCGCCATGAAACTCAGTTTCATTCGCTGGTCCAGCAAGCTTGGTATCTACAGGGATATAAATCGTTGCAATGCCGTTACGTGGTAAGTCGAAGACTTGAGGAGAATCGGCGGGTATAGGGGGGTCGGTAGCAGTTTCAAATGGAATCCAACAATTCTATCCATTGTTCGAGACACGAACGAGCCGCACTATGTTGGTGAACTATTCCCAGTAGCGAGAGAAACTTGAATGCTGATGTTGGATGTCCGATCTTATTACGGTGGCGCCACCGTCGAACAATCGCTCTAAGATTCAATAGCCATTAATTTATACGACGTAACGGTACCCTCCAATTACCGTATTAAAACAAGAATTCAATAGCTAACAGAATTCACGAGGCTTTTCAAATATTCAAATTTTCCCGCCGACCCGTAACGCCGTTACGAAAAGACCACGATGAAAAATCGTACAAAAATTACCACGCGACCAGTCTCATTCGTAATCCGTGATTCATGGAGGATAAATTCCTTCGTCTAATAACTTCCTGTAAATGCGTAATGGCGACATCGCAGATTCACAGAGGTCGCTCATAGGTTTAAAATGCTAACAGCAGATGGCGCAGGCCCGAACGGTCGTATGGCAGCGCCGCCGGTGGCGAAGCGAAGCAAGTTGTATCTCACGGATCTGTCGCGTGATTAAGCTTATTAAACGCTTAACTCACGGCGGGCTGGTTCTGCTCGGGACTGCTCTACTGGGCTCGACTCAGCCACAGTTTTGCAGGAGGGTTTCGGGCCGCCGCGGCATAGCAGAACAGAAGCACAAGAGGATCAGAGGTCGTAGAGAGTGGGGGCGGGTGGAAGGGGTCTACGGCACTGGCTCCTGACGTTGCTACCGGTGGGTTCCTGGTGGCTAAGGGGTTGGCAGGGGAGGGAACGAGGGCAAGACTGCCAGCAGCCAGCAGCGGAACAGCCTCGCACACCAAATCATTGTTATTACGGAATATTACACAGCTGTATCAGCCCTGCAGACTCCGCGCTAATAAACTGCGGTTATGTCCCTAATATACTGAATCTCAATTTTCAGCCGGATGGAAGGAAACCCCTGCAAACGCCAAAGGATACCCAGAGACAGAGATAAGAAAGAGCACCGAGGAGTCGTCCTCCTCTAGTTTTCCTTTTCTAACCATCTCTTTCTGTTTTTCCTTTTGTCATACTTCCTTTTTTACTTTTCATTCTTCCACCCTTGGCTTACAGGTGAGATCCATATTCGTAGGTGGAATATACAATATGGCGAGCGTAGCTAGTATGTACTTTCGGTTCTGGCGTTATGCGTTCTACAATGTGGATGGACACATGTGTTCTGTATTATCTTTGTTATTGTCTGCTTCTGTCATGTGTGTGGAATAAAATGTAACGGTGGTGGAGGGTTGTTGCTATTTATGCGAATACGTGTATTCCGTGGAGGGGCTGGGCAGGGGGGGGGAGGTATAGTCGGAGGCGACCACTGACAAAGGATAAAACTCATGCAGAGGGAACGAGGACTGTTGGAGATTCGGTAGATTTTTTTTTTTTTTTTTTTTTTTTTCGAAAAAAATAAAAACCCCGGCCACCGCGATAGTCCGCGCTCGATAAAATAATTTATCGAATATATTTCAATTTCACGCGTATTATGCCCCCGAAAGAGTAATTCAATGGAAAATATAAATATTCATTTGCGATTTAAGCGAATGATTTATACCGGGCCGAAATAATAATTTAATTTCACCGCACGTTGGGCACCGATACAAAATTGCCAGGACAAAAATAATAAATAAATTTCGTTCCTACCCGCTAGTGTAGATTTTGCACTCGTGTTACACGTACGGGCTACCTGCCGCCGGTTTACCTGCTGTCATACCGGTTAACTACCCTGGTTATCGTCAATCAACCACCAGCGGCCAAACATCCCCCTTTTCGACCCCTTCGATAACGGTGACGTCACAGCGGTGAAAATTTTTTTAAGTAAATTCTTTAAATTTGACAATTTACATATATACACGTATATACAATTCAGGGGTGTATACCTGCCGTATATTATTTAGATGATAATAATGACTCGCCTCACGAAACAGGGAGAAGTCCCATATGCGTGAAATGGTTTTGCGGGAGCGGGCTATGCGCCCGGCGCTAATGGTTGCTGTACAAACATTCATTACTGGCCTGGAGGGGTGGCAATATTGTTATCTTAGATTTATAGATGTAACGGATGGCGGACACCGCTGTGTGAGGACGGGACGCGGCCGCTTGCTCGGACATTAAACGTACCGTCATAGCCACCCTTCCAGGTTCTACGGTGCTCCTAACCCCCGGCGTATCCGAGAATACACCCCCGGCCACTCTATGTACCAACGGGCTATATCTGGACTATAGCTATCCCACCCACCTAAAGGGGTAGGTATAGGTATAGGTAACCAGTGGACGGTTAGCAGGGTACTACCCCTTGGTATCACCGGTCTCGGGGATGGTACCACGGTCGACCACCACACCCCAAAACGGCTGGTGGAAGAGAGTAAAATGAGAAAGCAACCCCTTTAACCCCCCCTCTACGTCACCCACGAGAGAAAGGGAGCGCGTAGTCTGCTACGTCCTGAGAATTCACCCTGGCGCAGAGGACCACCACTGCCAGTTTCTCCTCCTTCGGATGACCCGAAGCCGCGGTATCTGAGACACTTGACGCCATTAGCGGCTCCAAACTGCTCCTCGCGCAGTTAAAGTGATTTGCGACTCTTGGAGCCAGAAACCACCACCCATGCAGATCCTCCCCAGGTCCCTCTTCCTTGTAGTATCTCAGCCACTAGTGCTATAGGCTATCCCATATAGGCTATTTACCATTTTTCCTGGGACAGAGGAGCCACTGAGCAACCTTTTGATTGAGCAAGAACATCATAGGCGCCGACGAATGCCGGCTCTCCTCTAGCGTAGACAGAAAAACCAAAGTCCCCTCGTCTATGCACCAACCACGAGGCGCACGAGGCTCTCGGGGGGCCTCTAACTGTTTATGTCGTCTGGACGGAGAGAAACTTGGCGACTGCCGTTCGTTTACTGCCTCTCTCTCTCTCTCTCTCTCTCTCTCTCTCTCTCTCTCTCCCTCTGTCTCTAGTTCTTCTCTCCTTTAGCATCCACCTTCGACTCTCTGTCTTCCTTCCTTCCTGTTTTCCTCCTCTCGAGCCTCCAGCCGCCACCGCTGCTGGCAGCACCATCGGCACCGACTCTCTTGTTATCCTTGAGAATTCTCCATCCACTCTGGTGGCGAACCATGAAGCCTCGATTCACCCCCCACACCGACCACCCCGATTATGAGGGAGACCAATTGTTATACCAGGACGAACAATGATGGTCTTATAACTGGCTCAAGATCTTTGAGCTTCTTTATTATCTCAAACGATTTCACCGCAATCTATGTTTTTTAATTTTTTATTTTTATTACCAGTTTCGAAAATTTTTTTTTTACGATCGTACATGGACATTTTTTTCGGATAGAGATTTTCTTATTTTTATAGATCAGAAGTCGCGGCGAAACTTTTTCTCAAATTCATTCAGCCTCTACAGCCATGAAACGCGATAGGTTGTATAGCTATATCTACATTACATTAAAACGATGCTTTTATTAACTCTTTTTAATGCATATTAACCAGTCTCGAGCTCAGCAAAAATTAATGGAAGAATTACAGTAGATGGGTATAAGGGTGCACCAGCGCCACACGGAACATTCAGGAGTATCACCGTTAGCACTTCCTATTAGCAGGGTTCTTCATTGGCGCCTCTTCCGCCCCTCTCGCAAACGATATCGTATAAATGTGTCGTTAATTACTTACCCCGTGGTCGCGACACCCTCTCACAACCCTCTCGGTGCTACCGTACACGTTTTCTCTCTCGCTCGCTCCCGTTCGCCGTGTCCCCTGGCTCTCTCGCCCTTTGCCACCCCCTCCCGCCCACCCTCGACGCAGCGTTACGGCGCCACGTGTTAAGGAAACAAACGTTTATTTGAAAAACTAATTGAACCGGAGCCCTCTAGTGGCCCGTCTCTACAGGGGCAGTTACAGGGGATTATGGAAGCCTGGCCAGACCCAAAGATGGCCCCTCTTCCCAGCCAACCCAGCCTCCGGCAGATACCTGGAAAAATCAAAGCCAGCCACTAGAACTCGTCTGTAGATCAAACAGTGGAATAATTTTTCCCCGTGAATTTTTCAAATTTTTTTTTTTCACCCTGTAGATACTTTTAACGTAAATATCCAGAAGACAACTTCCGGCCGACGAAGGCAGCGCGAAAGGAGGTTGCAGCTACGAAGCATCAAGGTAGAAAGGAAAAGTTACTCGAGTGCGAACCAGACTGAGCGGATCTTTCGAGATGATAAATGATCATCACATCAACCGGAAAATGTGAGCTTGCCCGCGGAGTCTGCTGACTGAATCAAACCACTATCAATCACACCACCAGGCGGCTGTGCGCTTCGAGTGTAAACACAGAGTGGCAATAGAGCCGCCCTTAACACCCCTTGGTAAAAATGGGGGCTTCCGGACGACGCCGGAATTTTTCATTTGTCAACCCCCAGCACGGGGGGGACTGTGCTTGCTACACCCCCGCCCCCCCCTCCGAACGTTGGGAGGCTCTTTGCCCAGAAAGCCGCTTGGCTCGCGCCGAAACGGCTTAAAAATTTTTGGTTGAATAAAAGCGACGCGCGCCACCCC